AAACTTAGCTGAAAGAAACGGTAAAAAAGGGGCAAAATGGCTTACGTTTTTAAAACAATAGTGTATAATTGAACAGTTCCTTCGAAACATCCTTTTACAATCCAAACCGTAAATCGGTCTCATTTATTTCAAGACTTGAAAAGGGGTGTGTTTAGGAACCTCTCCTGGACGCGACTCAAGTGTGGATATGAGGTGTACACATGGAAACACATGTTTAATAATTCAGGCTGTATACTAGAGTACAGGCAACGTGGTTATGGTATCTCTGGGAGTTATGCCCCCTTCTGGCTCTGCAATTACGTGCTATGAGGCCTTCCAGGCCACAAGCGTAACAGTTGATGTATGAGTGAGCTCTGGCCAGAGGAAGTTGGCTATTGAAGACCTGACTACTAAAAAGCAGGAAGCTAGGTGGGTTACTTTTAGTAGACTTCTCTATCTCTTTTGCTATTGTGATCTCCTCTTTAGTTCCAAGGAGCCTCAAGAGAATTCGCTGAATAACTTGGTTTTCAAAAAGGTCCTTGGTTTGCTTAAGGATAGCTTTGTATCTTCGGGCATGTTGGTCACCATTCTCAGGAGCGTTGTAAGATAAAATAATGCTCAAAAGCTGCCATGGCCGAGTGGACATCAAACACACCAGGGGGATGGAGCAGAAGTTGTCGAAGGTTCTGAAAAGCCTGGCTAACAGTATTTTGGGAAATTTTTTACTTCATTTGACCTTATCTACAACATCCAGGGTAGCCTTGGGAATTATGCAAAAGGGAAGGAGATAAGCAAAATGGTTCCAAAAAGGTGTAGGGAAACTGAAACAGGTAATAACGAAATGTACGTCAATTTTTTAGACACTTTTATTAAATAATAATAATAAATAAATAAATAAATATCTCGCCCATTAAAATACATAACAAACGTTGCAGCGAGTAAAGGTATACAAATCATGAAAATTGCACAGATCATTTACAATTATTACATAAAACCTAATAAAACATTGGATATCTATATTGTTAAATTACCAAGCGGTATTGAAACCTTATTCTATTAAAATAGCAATTCTTAAAACGTTCTTTATTAATCCGTGGTAATTGACTTGTTTGTGATCTTAACTTCTTGGATGGCTCTTTGCGTTTTGGCAAAAGGGCATATAATGGATGGTTAACACTGTTCTTAATTTTGGTGAACAACCTGTGGTCACACTTCTCTAAAAGGTCATAGATATTAATTAACTCAGAAGTGTAATGTCGCTTGTGGTACCTTTTTAAAAAGGCATTGTGGCTGGCTCCATATACTGGAAGTGCATTTGTGATCATTGGCAGAACAATAGCCTTTAAGAGATGATCTATCTCTACCTGCGTGTATCCATCTTCTCTTAGTGATCTTAAAATGTACACTTGTTTGCTTCCCAAAGCTTTCCCTTAACATGAGATGAAAACTTGGTCGTTTTGTAATGTGACACCTAATAGAGTGAAACTGTCACTCTGTTCTATGACACATAGAGGGGGAAAGTTAGGCAAGGCGACCTATCAGAGCATGAATATGTACATGAAATGCTGTCATTGTATCATTGGAACGAAAACTCATGTCGAATTTCTTTCACTAGTGCCAGTTTTTCTTTCCTAAGGCACCATGTGCCCACGATGTAAACTGGCGATAAGCTGTTAAGTGCCAAGTTCTAGGACAATTAATTAACTATAAATATAAATTACTGAATACAGTAGAGTACATGCATCTTAAAACACTATATCTTGGCAGTTGTTGCTGGT